CCCGCGCCCCTGCCGCAGCGCGCCGCAGTCCGGCCTCCCAGCCCCGGCGCGGGTTAGGAAGGCCGGCGGCCTCGTCACGTGTCCTCCGCGATCGCGAAACAGGTCTGATCAATTTCTGTCTGCGTCTGCCAGGCCCTGCGCCTATCGATCGTAGATCTGCGTCTGCACAAATGGAGGACCAGGAAAATGCATGCTGCGGGTCCTTGGATTTCTGGGCTACTGCGGGCAGCTGGGGAGGTGGGGGGTGCAAAAACTGGCCTTTGCAACAGTTGATCCCCAGGCTCATTTTAAGCCTCTAGGTTGGCCGGCTCTCTGGACCTATGCATTGCAAGTTGGACCCTCGGCCGGACCCGGGGAGCTGCGCTGCGTCTGGAGAAGCGTCTGGTCCACATTGCCCACAATGCTTTGCGGCCCAGGACTGCCAGCCAATTCCTGGGGTTTGGGGAGGGGCGGTGCTGCATCTGTCAGTCCCTTGACGCCACGCCAGAGAGGAAGATGTGGGAACAAGAGTTGATACCCTGTGATGAATTATGCATATGCAGCTGCCCTCAATCCGCCTCTGGCGCTTGGGAAGCATTTTTGTAGCTCGAATCTCAGACTTTTAGCCCTATTGCGGTGCACGCCGGGACCATCAGGGACAGCGGCGCTGGTTTCCTGCATCCTCAGGGCCCTACTGGCATGCCCGTCTCGTTTCACTCAGTAACTTTGCTCAGGAAATGCCGGAGCCTATGGTGAAATGAAGCGAAAAGATGGAAATTCACTTTCTAGGGAGCAGTTGGGGCCAAGCATTCTAGAGGGTTCCTTTTTTCTGTCCAGACGGACAGAGCAGAAAGAAAAACAAACTAATGAAAGAGGGTTAGTAAAGAGCATTCTCTGTATCTAAAATGAGTCAGCCAGCGGGTTGCAGTGTGATTCATTTACTGTGAGAGCCCATATGGGATTTTTATTACCGTCACATGTAAACCGACCAAAAAGGCATGCACGCTTACTGTGAAAAGTAATACAGCTAAGTTTCAGAAAATAAATATCTATAATCCCTCCTCTCATTTTGTAGAGGCAGGGGCTATGACCCAAGAAAGAAGCGCTCACTTTGGAATCTGGCACTTTTAGTGGGCCACTCAAGGCAAGAGGGTATAGCAGCATAGAGTCAACAAAATGTCACAAAGAGACAAGATGATATATGTGCTAATATACTGATAATCTTTTAATGGATTGATGTGATAGTGAAGTCAGGAGAACTGAAAGCTTTCCTAATGGAGCACCTGACCTTAATTAGCCTCACTCATTTCTTCATGGTGTTTCCAAGGAGATTGTGTGTGTGTGTGTGGGTGGCGTGTGAATCCATCTGCAGCATTTATTCTAGTGCGGTCTTGCATCTAATGTCCACTATGAAAAACAAACAAGCAAAAAATTTTAACTAAAATAAGGCAGTATCTCCCATCCCACCAATATTTTAATACTATGCAAATATTTAAAAACAAACAAGGGAAAGCGAGCCCAGTATTGGATATAGCAATCGATACTCACAGTGCTGGTGTTGGCACCACATATACTGAAATTGGACCCATACAGAGAAGATTAGCATGGTCCTGGGCACGAATCACAGACGAATTTGCAAATGTGTGGAGCATTTCGTATTTTTAGAAACAAACTCATAGATACAGAAAACAAACTGATGGTTGCCAGATGGAGAGGGAGGATGGGTGAAAGAGGTGAAGGGGACGAAGACGTACAAATCGCCAGTTATAAAATTAGTTGCGGGGATGTAAAGTACAGCATAGGGAATTCAGTCAGCAGTATTGTAATGACTGTGTAGGTGACAGATGGCTACTGGACTTACCGTGGTGATCGCTTCGTAAGGTTTATAAAAGTCTAATCGCTACGTGGTACACCTGAAGCTAATATAATATTGTATGTCAGCTATACTTAAGAAATGAATTAAAAAAAATACTTACTGACAGTTCTGTTGCTTCTAGTTCCGGTGGTGAGAAGTCCTTTCCAAATATAAGAGGAATAAAGAAGTCACTTCCCCAACTGTCATCATCTTCCAACAGATTGAGCAAGAATATTTCAAGCACTACAGAAAAGGTGATGTAAACTTTGAAGGAGAATCTTAGTTGAATGTGCTGTTTCGTTAGTTTGTTTCTTGTGTGTGTTCACGGTATTGATGACTGCATGTCTGTTTTTTAGACAGTCCATCAAACCATAGATGATGATCAGCCATGTGAGTTTTTCAAGACGGGGAATAGGGTGAATGAATCTCATCAGAAAAGCAGGTAGTTTTCATATAATTTCATTGTCTTGTAAAATTGTGTCTTCTCAGTTCTCCACATTGAATCTGTGTGGTTGGAAAAATATAATGTCTGTGAATAACAAATTCACACTATTTTTTACCTAGCAGAAATGAGTGGGCAAGTGATTTTAAACAGTGCTAGTTGGTAAAAGTCCCAGAGGTCATAATTCTGACACTATTAGCAGAATCTATAATTTTGGGTAAGCCCCTTACTCATTTTTTTATTAGTTTCCTTTTATATAAAAAGGATACTGATGATAATTTCTATGGATGCACACTAGAAGTGAACAAAAGTTATGAATTCTAAATAACGACAATTCCGTCATCCATTTCTTCATTTATTCAATATTTATTGATCACGTTATGCTATTGGCAATGATTTAATATCCTCCATATTTATGAATTAAGAGGTAACACATTTTCAAATAATTACTTAGTGTGGCAGAAACCTCTGGACCGATGAACCTCCAAGGTTTCCAAAAAGCATATTTCCCACCCATTTCTTTTACCCCATCTGATTTACATTACTGAGAAGTATTATAATCTTAGTAACATGCTATGTCCTTGGCAAATAAATCAAAAAGAAAATATTTTCAACTCAGATATGAGATCCTGCCGCAAGATAAATCAGGTGCTATATGCACACGGTTTTTGGCATTTCCGGTTACCCACCATTCTCCAGATTAACCGTTTTTTCTCTCCCACGGTTAAAAGGCACCCTATGAGTCTCTCCTTTGGAACACAGTGTCCTGAGTGTGTTTCCTATCTGAACACACTTTAATGAGCTTCTGGTTGAAGGCAGAGGTTGTACACACTACACTTTTTCATTTCGAGATGTTAGTCGGCTCACACCACGAATTAGCGATTTAAGTTTTGTAAAACTTGCATTTTACATCTTGTTTACATTTAATTTAAAACAGGCATCTAAAAGAAAGCTGCAGGTTTTACTCACCAATGCCTTTCAACATGGTTCTTGTCAGCAGAGCAGATGGAGAGTTCTCTGGCCGTTTCTTTCCCAGCTAATGTTTATCAAAGTACACACGATAGGCCTAAAATTATAACACAGGCACTTTAAGAAATGTCGATGATTTTATTAAGTGCTAATATTTGATATAAAATAGAATCCATGCATTACAAAATGTTTCTTAGAGCATTACGTGGAAGATGGTTCTGGAAGTCGTCCTTCGATCTACTTGCTCTGTAAAGAGTTTGGAGGCTTTACACATCTAATGCCTAGGAATAACAAACGTGCGGGGTTATTTTTTGTCTTTTTGTTTAACCGCAAACGGACCCGTTTTTGTCGTTGGTTCTAAGACTCGCAGTTTTATTTCTCACAGCGGCATGATTGCTGGTCCGTCTTGGAATAACGCGCAACGTTTGAAGAATTCTTCGGGAAAAAGACAGAGTAAACCCCAAGAACTGCACGTTTCTCCCCAGCCGACAAGCAGCCTCACAGGTGTCCCCCAGCCTGCGGGGGGCGAACGTGAAGGACACATGGCCCCAGAAGGAGCGGCCGAGAGGAGTCCCCTGGGTCCCAGGTGTCAGGGGGCCTCGGGGAACAGGTTGTTCCTCGCCTTTCAGTCCCTGAGGATTATTAAAGACGACGCCGACGAGGACAGCGCCAGCGATCTCTCCGACTCCGAACGCGTCCCCATGTCCCCTTCCCCGCTCAGCCCTCCCGACCTCCGGCTCCGAGCGGAAGAAATCGACCCGGTTCACTTCGACGTGCCGCCGAGCCGGGGCCACGCGAGGCCCGAGGCGTCCTACCCCGACTTCCTCCCCGCGCCGTTCAGCTCCTGGGACCTGCGGGACATGGCGTTGCTGCTGCACTCGGAGCAGCGGCCGGGGGCCGTGCCG